GCTGGCATTTGGCGCGGGCAAATAGGGGGGGGGGGCGTAACAATAGGACTCCCCGAAAATAGAAGTTAGACGTCCTCAATAAGGCTCCCACAGTACCGAGGGCACCGGGAGACCTTGGGGATTACTTTAAAAGGGATGGTCTGGATTCGGTCACGTATTTTTAGGGCCCCAAAACCAAAACACATTAAAGAGGGGCTTCCAAACAATGGCCATGTCCTGAATAAGTGGCGGCGAAAACACATTAAAGAAGGGCTCTTCACAAAACTGAGTGCAACATTAAACTAACTTTAAAGGGATGATGGTGTTGTCTAGGGGCCTGTATAGTTCGACCAGGCCCACTGCCGGGATCCTTTAAGTGAGGTAAAAAAGGCATGACAGGGGTTCTGTAGAGGTAATGGAGGATGTAGGGCCCCTGACTGGGTCCTGTGTAAGAATCCTTTAGATAAAAATTGCAGGAATTGTCGGGTTTGAGGGTTTTCGAGTTCGGGGCAGGGTTTTCCGGTAAAGTGGTGACACCGATCAGTCCTATCATTTGGTCAGTCACAGGCTCATCTCGTTCTCTCTTAACAGTCGCACCCTCCTTCTCTAAGAATGAAAGGTGATTAGAGAGTAGCGGAAGTATGGGAAGATGTGCAACTTATTGCCTTGGGATGGGAGGCGTTTTTCTGCCTCGGATCTTGCCAGAACGTTGCTCAACAATTGAATGCAGCACAATCTCTATGCAATGGATTTCTCCGGCATTGAACGTGCATCAAGCAATGCGCTTAGACGTTGGGAGGACATGATCAAAGTAGCAAGACGAGTCTCTAACCTGCCGCTAGACTTTGCGAAGCTCAGAAAGATCGTCGTCAGCATGTGTTTCAGGACAGCGATTTGAAAACATAATGACAGATCTTCATGTGACCCTTAACTACCAGCTTTGTCGTCTTTTTTCATCTACTCTCTCATCATAAGCAACTGTGGGCACGCTGTGACAGTACTTTGGATGCTCCCCCCCCAACGCAATAACAGTCGTATGTTATTATAATATGATGTTATAAAGCCCTGCATAGTACCGGTTGTATAGATTGGTAGTGGATGGAGGCTGTACCCAAACTTAGACCCTAAACCCTACATGAGCAATAATCTAAACTCCTTGAAGTGGGCTATAAAGGGGAGTATATAGGGGAGTATTATAGGGGTCATTAAGAGGGATGCTAGAAGATTAGACTATTGCTCGCATAGCAGTTTCCCATTTCATTCATTTTCTTTCCATTGCATTTCCATTAATCATTAATATAGTAGCGATAATAGGCCTAAACTTTATGAGGATTATAGTTGGTGTATGGCCTACACCCAGTATACTCCTCATTATATGTACCCAAAGTATGCACCACACGATACTGCTCTTGCCAGGAGCTTGGTTCCCGGGTAAACTACTGGGACGCAGCCGGGCGCTCAATTCACCGGTCTGTCAAGTGATTGCAATTAGCCTTATAACATGCCTCAAGTAAACCCTAAAACCTCACTAAGCCCGGCTAAAATCATGATAAGAAATAACCGTAATAGTAACAAGAGTAAGTAATAATAGGAATATTCCCACATAACAATGCATAGTGGGCCCTAGAAAGCCCGAGCAGCACCAAGTCGCCCAGATGCAGCTGCGCACACAGGTTTGACGTAGGCTTAGCCGATTCAGGTGTGCAGACAGTAGGGTTTCATGCATGCATGCACAGATCCTAGCCTTTTTCTTGCTCCTTGTGGCTTTGAAGGTGTTAGCTATGTAGATCAGTTCTTGCAAAACTCGGACAATTTTTGGCAGTCGTGATGCTGAGCAGTTCGGGCCTCGTAGAGAACCTGGCAGACAAGAGCCTGAAACCCTGGACCCCAAACCATGTGTCTCAACCTTCAAATCCTGATCCGTGAGCCCCGTACCCTACTTATTGTTGCTGAAACCCATCCCAAGGTACATATTCTTCAGGCTTTCACTGCGGCTGGGGCAGAGGACTCGGATTTACGTTTCTGAACAAGTATCATCTTTTTGCGCGGGTGCTCTTTAAGAGGAATCGCCTTGTCTGAGTAGACTTTAGGGCAACAGTATCAGATGCACGGATGCGGGCAGAAGCGCGGATCAGCAGAGCGAAGCTGCAACGCGGCAAGCAGCATGTTGGTGACGTTAGGCATTGTAACCCCCAGTACGACCCCACACCTTTTTCTGAGGAGGCATCTTTGATATTTGGGTCTTCATCCTTCTCATTCAACAACCGCGTGCCAGCGAATCCGAGGTGACAAACGCAGATTTGTTAATGCACCTTGCGGAAGTCTTGACCGTCAGGCCCTCAGACTTGAGCAGGGCTTACTTGACATCCTAGCTCAGTGTGGGGTAAGCTGCAGCATGTTCAAACATCATGAATTTCAGCCCAGTGAAGAGTAGATAATCGCTGAATCGACTGACACCGTAATTAAATTCCCATGCCAGAATTATTGCAGCGGCAAACTTATCTTAGAATTTCCTGCGTGCGAGGGCACTGTGTGCATTCATCTTCCATTCTGTCGAGGACAAAACGTCAAAGATGGCTCCCAAGCACATTCTCGATGTGCTGGCGGTGTACGAGGCCTGCGGGGCTGTGTAACTGGCTGGAGGTTGAAGGCCTGGTATTGTGATTGCCCTCATTTGTAGCGCGGTGCAGCCGTGGCTCTCTGGTAGCACCAGCAGTTTTGACACTTGGTTTTGAAGTGTCTGCAAGTGTTGAACCCTTTGCCTCGCGAGAGTTCCAAGAAAGTTCTCGCGCAGGCCGCAGACCTTCGTCCTGCTGGACTGTACGTAGAACTGCTCCATGCCATCGTGCGCCTCGCACGGTCTGGACCTGGGTCTGCAAGGCTGCAGAAGCAGCTGAACAGTTTCCTCGCAATCATGTCTCAGACTTAAGGGTACCTTCTCGGATTTTCCTACAACTCAGCCCTCGATTTCGGTCAGCCAGATCCGTGAGTGTTGGATGTTTCCCATCGTCGAACCGCAGCGCAAGATCACAGCCAAGATGGGCCGTTCCTGCGCCCGCACATGTTGCAGCAAATGCGGCTGCAACGTGAACATGCTGTCGCTTGAGGGCTTTGGCCTCATGAAAAAACTTGCCGGCAACCAGCACACAACCAAGAGCATGCCTCCACCTTGCTGAAGAGCAAACAGCCAGTTTTGCTACCGCGAGTAGAATGCAACAAGCAAGCCTGTCTCGTGTCCCCGCCAGAGACGATGAGAGTGCCGACTGCAACGCGCACGAAGCGCAGTAGTTACGCGAGGAGGATCCGCCACTTCGTGTTGCTATGGCGCTCAGCCCTGGGAAAAAGCCCGGCAACATAAAGTGACAAAGTATAAGGACCCCTAAAATGAAGACTGCGCAAGTTCTTGAAAATCCATGGGTGCAGATGCTGGCATTCAGCAGGTCGGGTTGGCTTTTCTGAAATGTAAGGCACGAATACGTTTCAGAAATGTAAGGCACAAATACGTGTCCCAAGCAAACCTGATGCTCCAAAACCTGATCCCAAGAGCACAAACCCTATCATCATTTATACAAGATTATATGCATATATGCCCTATATCCATATTCTCTCCCTAAAGCCCCCTAAAACGGTCCTTAAGCGGCCCGTTGATGGCAACCTACATTTACAATGCATAGAGTGCCACACAGTTTGGTGTCAATCACGAGTTTGTTTCCTGTATCCCCTCCTGGTTCCATGTAGTAAAACAGGAGGGAGTGCGCATCTGCATTCTGCCAATTGGATCCTGGTGAAGCTTTCGTCCCAGTCCCTCTCCCCCAAGTTTTTATTCTCTCCCTAAAGTCCCCTAAAGCGATAACAGCTGCCAAAAACCCTGATCCGCGCTTGAGACAGGGTGAAGTCAAACACTGGAGTTGTGGCTACTGAACAGATTTCGCGACAGCTCATGTCTGAGGTCCATGTATGCAGAGGAGCTCACCTTAGTGCTCCAAGCTTTAGCACGCTACGGCTTGGGGAATCCCACGGCAGCGTCCCAAGCGGTTTCCTTCATGAGCGCATGGCAGCTGGATAGGAAATCACATGGCTTTCGCAAGTGGCGTGTGCTCAGGTGGTGGCTCAGCTCATGCGCGTAGTCCAGATTGAGATCAAGGAGTTCAGGCCGATACCCTTTCATGATAGGGCATGTGGTGAGCAGGGGGTGGCTCAGAGTCGGAGCCGCTTATTTGTAAGCTCGTTTGTGTCTTGTCTTTGGGAGGCTTCGGTACCTCTGTGCTACCGCCGGTGCCCTTGGGACGATGAGGGCCTGCCGGGCACTTTGCTTCAGACGGTTGAACCAGAGTGTCTCCAACAAATTGTCCAGCATTGTCTAGCTCAAGTAGTTGAGATCATCTGTTAATATGGAGTTGTACAGCGGAAGCGGAGCCAGGGCAGATACAGATATGTTGGCCTTTTGCAACAGGTCCTGCGGAGCTCATGGCGACGCTCGACTCGCATGCTCGATTTGAGGCTTGCTGCTGCCTGCTCGACGGAGTTGTTTTTCGATAGTTTGGACTCTTGAGATCAATTTCTCACGCAGCTTTCTGTGCTTGCGTAGGGTCCGGTTGGCTAGCCGCTTGCCAGTGATGAATGATTTCGGCTTTGTTCTCAGACACGTCTGGATGTATTCGGCGAGCGGTTGCGTTGGTGGAGGTGGACACCATCAACACCCAGGAGCTTTTGGACAACGTTCAGGCTTCAGCATAGCTTGGTGCGATGGCAGAGAGGTAACCCGTAGACACCCAACCACAGACACTTGGCTCTCCCAATTTCGCCCCAAAATCTTGGGATCCAGAGTAATTATAGCAGTATAGTATAGGGACTCCCAAATGAGACCCCATAAGCCCCTAGGCTTTGGAAGCTCGGCTCACACGTCTTCATAGCCAGGCCTTCCCGCAGCTGGAGTATTCTTGGCAACCATACGAGGACATGCAGCTGAACCTGCATCTTCAACCGGGATTGATTGACCAGTCAACATCTTTCAAGCATGTGGGTATGTCTTAGAGTTTTCTAGTCAGTACGTTGGGCATACTCCCATGACATCACCACCGCACCCATGACACACATCAAACCTGCGACAACAGATGCAGTGCCCTGAAGCCTGAACCTTCACCGCAAGCCATGAAAGATTACCTAAGCCTTAAACCATCTTAAGTCCACTCCCTTGAACTCCAAGCCTGAAACCGGAACCATAAGCCGCATTTCCAGGATCTTTGCCTGCGCGAGTTTCTGAGTCGAGTAGCGCGGCTTCAAACTGCTGAGGCGTTCTGGGATGAGTGGGCAGACTTTGTGGTATATGGGTTGTTTTCACAATTATGGGTTCCTTTGGGTTATATTGGGTTATATAACGGCACCTAATAGAACCCTAATCTTGGGAACTACCCATATGGCTGGGAGGTATGATCGACTGATTTATTCATGCTCGGGGTAACATAGGTGAGGCCAGCTGGGGGATTATCCCGAGAATAATTCCCATGAGAAGCGCCAGAGAGTGTGGATGGAGTCGTTTTTTCTTTATGAGGTACAGTCTAAATTCCTTACAAGGGGCTACATGTGGCATTATATAGGGGGAGCATTACAGGGTCTTTAAGGGGGGCACTAGGGGTTTAGACTCTAGCTCATATAATCCCTACATATACCCTATTATCATGTAGTAGTTTCCATTTTCTTTTCCACTATCCCTTAAATATACTATATATCTACTATAGTACCAGGAGTTCGGGATGAGGGTTGAAGATTTCTTTGAGAGTAGTTCACTGGGAATCCCCGGATTACTGGGGATCGCACGGGAATCACGAGGATCCCTGTTGAGTATGATCCAGGGAGTCTTCTGGGAAATTCCCCTATGAGCCATAGTCTAAATTCCTTAAAGGGGGATTATGTAGGGGATTGCTGAAGGGGATACTAGGAGTTTAGACTTCGGCTCATATGGGACTTAGGCTAACAAGTTACAAGTTGGGGGGGTGGGGGACTTGCAGTTGGCTCAGCGACTGCAGTGATCGCTTGAGAGAATTGCAGCACACCTGCAACGTTCTCCAGAGAGTCGATGCTGTGGGCTGTAAGATTGCTTGGGCATGTTTTGGGTGTCTGTCAACCTGTCCTTCTTCTTTGTTCTGGCAGGACGTGGATCAGATGGTGGATCCCTTTCAGGTCCTCTTTTTTCTTCAGGCTCGCGGCCACCTCCACACAGACTCTGGGCTCCCACATTTTTTTCGACGGGTTAGGGGACCATGCCCGAGAACCTAGCTTCTTCTCAGTTCTCCGTGATTTTTCTCGGAACCCAGGACTACCTGAGAGCTTTGACCCAATGGTGCCTTCGAGGAGTTCATCGGCCCAATGTCAGGTCTGAGCGACGACCGACAACAGCGCAACTCATTACCTTGTATGACTACTGTCGTGAACATGAGCTTGAAGATGAGCCTGCGCTGAATGATGCCATTGCTTACTTTGTCGAGTCTGGTGGAGGCAAGTGGCAGGAAGTATATGCGCGTCCGCTGTCTTACACAAAGAAGCGCTACTACATCCGCACAGAAGACCCTCTGCAGGATGTCGACTTGCCACCGCTTCCACGCTCCAGGTCCGCTCCGGCGAAGGTGAAGATGTTGGAAGACCTCCCTGGCCTTCCAGGCCTTCCGGCCCTCACACCAACCGAGAGGGAGGACCAAGAGGATGACCTGGCGCTGATCGAAGAAGCGGACGTTGTGCGCAAGAAGCCATCTGGGAGTTGCTCGGCTGCAGAAAAAGCCCTACGCCTAGATTTCTGCGAAGGCCGAAGGGATACCGTGTCCTTTTGGCGCTGCCGTGTCGTTGTGTTGTTTCCTCACAACTACAACTGAGCAAGGTTCGCCTCTGCTGAAGGAGGGCGAGTCAATCGCACGAGCCTCTTGGCAAGATAGTCTACCTGAGGCTACCTGTGTTGTTTGTGCAGGTGTTCTTGCAGTGGTTCTGAAAGTGCTAAAGCTGCTTTACTAAAGCTGGCAGGTTCGTGTACGATCTCGGAGAAAACTGGATAGACCACGTCGAGCTTTCGATCCGCTTCGCCTCTTGGAGTTTCAAGTGAGTGGTTTTCAAAGCACTCCTATTGTCTGGGCAAGTCTGTTCCCGAGAGTACTATCCTCCTCAGACATAGCAGGGGTTGCATACATTTCGTACTGCCCCCCCCCACTGAGTGACAGATGGGTAATGAACTTAATATAGCTAACAGCTGAAGGGAGCCCTCAACATGACCGATAGACTGTTGCTGGGTGGGGGCGGTACCTAATTAATGTACATATCCCCCATAATGGAAACCCTAAAGCGTGCGCCCTACTTCATGTGATGGAAATGACACACAGAGTGGCTGGTGCTAAGGAAAGCGCTACCGAGACCAAGAGCTGCCACAGCCTTTGTGGTGGCGCGTCTGCACAGCTTGTAAGCATTACTAGAACTATTATTGTTATGTTTGTTATTGCAATATTATTACTGCTATTTTCAAATTCCAATAATCACCACAACTTCAACACAACTCTCTCGGCCAGGGAATGGTAAAGTTTGATTTGCCTTTCTTGCGCGGTAAACGTAGGGATATTCTCAGAGGGGGGGGCTTAGTTAGCTAAAGTAGAGACCTGATGCATGATTCCTGCGCAGTCTACCCCCAACCCTAATTTGTCATAGTCTTTTGATGCTGACGTGTTCGCATTGCCTTTTTTTCAGGTTTCTCAAAGGAGGAGTAGTACTAGCAGTAGTAAAAGTAATAGTAATAGTCGTAGAAAAAGTAAGAGTAATGGTAGCAGTAACAGTTTCTAGAATAGGAGTAGAGATTGTAATAGTAGTAGTTAGTAATAGTATTTGCTCCAAGCATTGCCCGTCATGTAATCAGACACTCTGAGCTGATCAGTTCCCCCACAATCTAGGAATATCCAGAAATGGCAGTAAGGGGTTTCATAAGATCTTCTGTGAGACGGCAGTGAGCCTCATCGCAGTAATGGCGGACATGACCATCAAGATGACGGTAGCCCTATGACAGTGGCTATTACTATTAGTACTACTACCATTATTATTACTACTGTTACTACTATTATTACCATTACTATTATTATTGCTATTACTATTACTATTATTGTGATCATCTCAAGACTGTTTTCAGGTACTACGGCGGGTGGGGAATGCGTCCAAAGCCTCCTGGCTGTGATCAGATGCATACTTGATGCAGGAGGCAGTGGGTTTAGGGTTTAGGGTTTAGGGCTGAGGCTTTTGCTGGACAGTTCCAGGAAGTACTGAATAGAATGGATTGTTTGTCCCGATGCGGGTACGACATCCTATACTAGCATGCAAATGCTTCAGCTGCCGCTTTAGTGTCCAAGACCCAAGCAGCTACCCACGGCTTTCCCTGATAATTCTTGAGAAATTGAAAGCTCCGGTCTTGATGTGACTTTGTACGTTCCATTATTGGGGTAATGTACCCATACATTTTCGAATTTTTGGGTGGGCACCTGCAGTCCACTTGAGATCCCAAACCTCTATGGGTTTAGGGTTTAGGGTCCCATTATATACCCTATTATGATTTAGTACCTTCCATTTTCTTTTCCATTATGCCTATAACCCTACATGTACATATACACATATGTATATATATATATATCCCTCGGGGTTCTAGCGTACCTACCAAGTTGAGAAGCCCCAGGCCCCGAAGCCCTAAATCCTCTGGAGGGATTATGCAGGGGGTTGTATGAGTTATAGTCTACACTCCTTATACTTTCCTATAGGGCCCTGAAAAAAGATCTCGAAAGCACTTGTTTGAACAACGTTCCCTAAACCCTAAATCCTAAACCCTAAACCTAAGCCCGTAACCCTAAGCCCTAAATCCTAAACCCTAAACCCTAAAGCTTAGACCCTAAATCCTAAACCCTAAACCCTAAACCCTAAATCCCAAGTTTCAGCACGCCAAGGTATCAGCCAGGTCGCAGCCTGGGAAGTCGCTACCCCTACGCCGCCCTGCTGCAACTTAGAGTGGGAGAGGTTTAGGGTTTTAGGGTTTACGGTTTAGGATTTAGGGTTTAGGATGTGGGGTTTAGGGTTCAGGAGATGGGGTTTAGGGTGTATGATTTAAGGTTTAGGGTTTAGGATGTAGGATTTAGGTTTAGGGAATAGGATATAGGATTTGCGGTTTAGGGTCTAGGGTTTAGGGGTCGAGACTCAAAATCCTACATGACCTTGGTAGACTACAGTACCATTATTCCCAAGATTTTGGGTACTCAGGGCCATGCGGGATTTTTAGTAACAGTATCTACGGGAGGTCCTTAAAAGAGGTTAGGGTTTGGAGGGTTTAGGCGTTTAGGATTCAAGGGGTCCAAGTTGCTTAGAGCTCAGAGTTTAGGCGTTTAAGTCTAGTGCTCAGCTTTGTTAGGGTAATGAACGTAAGTCATAGCGACCACAGCAGACAGAGGAGAAAACATGGTGAAAGTTGTAATCGAACTGATGCAGTCAACTCGCAATCAGCATGTAACATCGCTTTGAAAAAACAGCAACCGCGCTTACATGCGGCAACAACAGTACTAGGCCATGGTCACAACATCAGAACCACTACCACCAGCAATTCCGATACCGGCGGTCACAACAGTTGCCGCTGCAGGAATCCTTGTGCACTTTCGGGTTGGTCACCACAGCAGAAGCAGTAGCAGCAGCAGCAGCAGCAGCAGCGGCAGTGGTCCCTGCCGCCAGCCGCCAGCACCCTCCACAGAGAGCCGTCCCCCCCCCCCCGCCCGCGACACGTGAATTCCCAGCTGCGCCCAGGCCAAGGTGCCCATTGGGCCGCGAGGCGGTGCCTGGGTCTTGCGAAGGCCTGGCCTGATCTATCCGCTTCTTTCTGCTTGGGATTGTGGCTGCCATTCCCTCTTTTCAGTCATATGGTTCATCTAGAATACTCATGATGCTTGTAGTTATGAGATGCGCGTGATGACAGGCAGGAGCAGGCTGTCGTGCGAATGGCAATGCTAGGATCTTAATTCTGATCGATGGCCAAACGGGAGCGAGTTGGCTGTTCTTTCGCTTTCGCGTCTGACCACGCTGCGCAACTAACAGTAAGTGGTTTGCGCACCATATTGTACTTTCGAGAAATGTGCTTGTATCATGCCAGCATTGTAGCAACAGCAGGTGACTCCGTGGGACATTGCACCTGGTCGCAGAACGTTTTCCCGTCTCGATGCGTTTGTTTCTGAACTTGCAGCAGCGTTTCACCCCATCATGCTATTCTTTTTCTTAGCAGTTCATCCCGTGCAAAAAAGGAATGCTGCAGGTGTGCGCTGACGCACATCATGTGATCATGCTGCAGGCGTTGCGTATTTCTAGAGTGCGCTTCCGTAGGGCAAAAACATGGATGGGCCAGCAGTCTGGCCCAAACACAGCAGAACTTGAAGCAGTTTCTGCTGGGCAGACGAGGCGGGAAGCTGTGTTTCCACCTGCCCAGATCGAAATGTGCTTACCAAGTCATGTGCCGGCTGCAAGTTGATCGAGGTTTCGTTTCGGAAATCCTTGTGCTACCAGCCTTTTTGGGTCGTAGGTGCGCTGACAACTCCCGTTGACGATTTAAGCATCTTACTTGCCCGATGAATTCATGGGACCCCTTATTTTCACGATCGCGCGTTTGCCCGCCACCCAGTAATTCGTTGGCAGGTGCGTGGTGTCACGCGCAATGTATGCCTTACAGCCCATGAACGAGCAGGAACGTCTTGTTGGCGAGGACTGCTGTGACAGGTCGCAGTTTTGCAAAGGGCTAAGCCAGACCTTCTTCTGAGATCTGCACATCAAGTGCCCCCGAATTTTTCTGCATATCTCTTGGTTTGTCAGCGACCACGCGGGCTTCAAACTTTCGAATGAATGCCCAACCTGCACATCATCGCCATCATCATCAGACACAGTGGATCTTGAGAAGATACAACGACAAATACTTCGCTTGCCAAAGTATTCGCGTTATTCCAGAGCGCTGGTTATCGGAAACCCTAGTTTCCATGTCCTTTGCCATGTTCTTTTCTATATGGTTCTCCACTATCGCCGTAACATCCCTAAATATCCCCTTATGCCCTACAAATTCTTATAACCGTACGTAGCCCCATAAATCCCTAGAGGGTACAAACCCTAAACCCTGCATATCCCTGAATAATTCCAGTTCGAATTTTCTTTTCCACTCCCCTAAGCCCGGAGCCCTAAACCCATGCAAGGCTTGGACATGGAACCCTAAAATTGGCCCAAAGCGCTGTACAGCGGTGGCAAAACCGCTCAAGGCATGGGAACCCCTGAAAAGCGACACCCTGCCACATTATGACCAGTAGGTTTAGGGATTATGGATTTAGGGTTTAGGGTAGCCATTAAGTTTAGATAAATGCTCATGTACCCTTGCATATTCCCTGTGTGAGCTATAGTCTAATCTCCTAGTATCCCCTTAATAAGCCCTGTAATACTCCCCTATAGAATACCCCATATAACCCTGTTGAAAGAGTTTAGACTATACCCCTACATATTCCCTGATTTAGTCATTGTCACTTGAAGGCATTGTAACTGTAGCGCCATGCCCCCGAAGGTGCTGTATGGGGCCTGGCAAAGGCCTAATAGGATTCTTAATCGCAGGTTTATTCTTGGGGGGATACTTGAAGGTTCACGGAATTCAGTAGCTACGTACAACTGGGATTCTCACCCTACTGATATAAATAACATAAGCTATACAAGCCCTGCTGCAGGATTATTAATGGGGGGTCTAAGCCCAGTTATAAACAGTCACTATGTCACATGAACCTTCAAGTAGTATGGTACCCTAAACCCTGAACCCTAAACCCTGAATCCCAAACCCTAGATCCTAAACCCTAAATCCTAAGCCTCAAACCTTAAATCGTAAACCCTAAATCCTAAACCTAATCCTAAGCTCTGAACCCTAAACCCTAAAACGCTAAACCCTAAACCTAAACCCTAAATAGTAGTTTCCATTTTCTTTTCCATTATCCCCCTATACCCCCCAATAATACCCTATAATCCCTATATAACCCCAATATAACCCCTACATAACCCCTGGAATCCCTTAAGGGGGACCCTAAACCCTAAACCCTAAACCCTAAACCCGGCTTGGCCGGAGGATCCTGAGCTCGCTGACGACGCCTCAGACAGAGAAAGCCAGCAGCAGGTGCAGGCAGCAAGAAGTGGTTCGGGGATGATGGTTGGGGGTTTGGGTTTAGGGTTTTTTGGGGTTTTCAGGGTTTTGGGGTTTAGTTTTTTTTTGGTTTTCAGGGTTTTGGGGTTTGGGGTTTAGGGTTTAGGGGTTAGGGTTTAGGGTTTAGGGCCTAGGGTTTAGGGTCTAGGGTGCGGGGTTTAGGGTATTTTGAAGGGGTTATAGAGGTTATACAGGATTCTTACGGGTTGAGGTTAAGTTACCATCTTTCATGGAGAATGAAACGGATAAGACAACGGAAAATGACTTGGAAACTGAGATTCTACAGGGACGCCAATGCTGGGGGGTGATGTAGTGGACCATCAAGTGGGAAAGACAATGGAAAATGAAATGGCAGCTGGGATTATATGAGTTGCTCCCAGATCCCTTCAAGTACCCCTAAATGTTAGGTGCCGCAATATAATCTATAACCAAAAGGGGCCCATAATTTTGAGAACAACCCATGTGGTGGACTTTAGGGATCTAGGTGTTCAAGAACTAGGCCGTTCCTTGGAGGGTAAGGCGGACTTACTGAGCAGTGTAGAAATGGGGATAGCTGAGCTTCTTCTCTGACTTAGAGGTATAGGGGTAGTTCTAGCGTGTATGTGGGGATCATGTAGGAGTATTGGGTTTCCTTAGAATATGGACCGTCATGGACCGAGCGTTCCTGAGAATTCAGTTTTTCCCCTTTTGGGATGGATGGGCGCCCCTTTTTTGAGAAATACATCTATCGGCCTCGTTAAGGCTGGACACTGGCTTGATGGGGCTAACTAACTCGACCTTCCTGAAATGCACTGCCATGTTGTCCTAATATGATAATTCCAGTCTGTTGCCAATAAACTCCAGGTTCCCGTGTACGGCAGCTTGTGCTTAGGGCTACCAAGTTGGGCGCAATGCTGGGAAGCGCGCTTGTTCTAGAGTTCGCTATATGGATTCTTGTGTTTACTGGTCAGGGTGGCATCATTATTTTGGGTTGTGCGTGTTGTATGTGGGCCTAGGGGACACAAGCGTGGTCTCAAGACAGGTTGTCGTGGGATGCTTGAGTTTTTTGAGGTTTAGCACAGCATTTGAAAGTGCAGACATCTCCGTGAAGTCGATTCCGAGAGGACGCACATGGGCTTCTTAGCTCACAACAGGGCACACATATTGCGGTCAAGCATGTTACTGATCAGAAGCGTGTTAAGAATGCGGGGTTTTCAAAATGGGGGGTCCTGTTTTGAATTCTAGACATCTCGGGAATTCACCCACCTGAACAGTCATCATCGGGCTCATTTCTGAAATTTTCATATCCCTGATCTAGAGGGATCAGCGGTCCATGCTGTAGGACTGTAGGAAGACAGCCATCAAAGTAAACCCCGAGCCCCTAAACCCTCAACCTTAAACCCTGAAGTAACCCTGAACCCCTAAACCCTGAGCCGTGCCCAATTTTGTGGAAAACAGACACTCAGGATCCTTCCATGGGAGGGATTACATATGTAGATAGATCATGAGCGAGAAGCTTTTGGGAGTTGGATCAGTAGTGTCGTGCGGCGGTGGGGGCTGTGGTTGGCAGGGGTTCACGCAGACAACTGCGAAGTATGTACAGGCATGCTTGTATATACCCCTAGATGACACAGCTACCATTGTCCACAATTTTTTGTCATCAGCACTGCAGCCAGAACAACACCTCTGAAACCCTCAGCCCTAAATAACAATGACCCTTCAACCCAATCCTCAAGCAGCGCTGCACCTCAGTGTTGCGGCGAGTGAGCACTTTAGAGCCCAACGTCTGTAGAAATTCGGAATTGGGTGCGCAGGCACTGTCAGCTGGTGTGTCATGTTGTTGTGCAGCGAAGTTTTGTTTTGTTTCTCTCCTCAAGCCGAGTATGCTCATTCTTAATGCTATGCAGTGTCCCCAGAACCAGCTTTACAAGAACTTGCCACTCCCTTGTCTTCTCTGCAGATTTGCCGTGCAGTCCGGCACGGCTTATTGGCAGTCGCAGCCGGGATCCTATGCAGATTTCTGTGCTTCACGACATGGGGTTTGTTCTAAAGGTCCTTGTAAAGAAGGGACCACTGGGAATGTCTCGACCATTGTTCGTATGATTTGAGATCGAATCTGAACAGCTGCTCTTCAGAGGACCACTTCGCACCAATTGTCTACTTAATTCCGGTCTGGGTCTCTCCGCAAATTTACGGCAGTCGCCCTTGAAGGTCCTGGTGTACGCCAAGAATGACGTGACCCCAGCATGGAGCAAGATTAAGATCCCCAAGGATCCCCTCTACTCAAGAGACCATCTTTCTTTGCTTCTGAACCGAGCAACCGCTGATCAGATGTGAGGGGAGCTCCAGACCCTAAACCATCTCAGGTCTTCGGGTTCATTGGCCTTGCCTGTCTTCATCTTTCCGGGAGCCAGGCACGGCTATTTCTGCTCTGCTGTTGGTAACTTAAACAGAAGCAATTGTCGTGGTAGTGGTCGCACTCACCATCTTGGAGTAATAGTCTTTGCCATCTCCACTGTGACCAACCATCAGTCATCAAATGCAAACCAAAAGGCAAAGGTTTGTAAGCTAGCACTTTGAGACAGGCACCGCAGGCGTGAGCCGTGCTCGCACCAATTCTGGCACTATCTTTCCCAAGTGTTGGTAGGAGAATCATGGGTGTGAAGAGCTGCTACATTTGTGGAACTTTTTGGGAACGACTTTAGAGTCAAAACGATCGCAGCAGGGCTCATACTTGTAGTTGGTATCAATGTTGGTGTTGGGATAGTTGCTTCTGTCGTGAACGGTGGGTTATCACAGTGACGCATGAGGTCAGAGGAAAGTCTGCATTCACAGGAATGTTAGACAGTGAGCTTTGGGCACAACAGTAACACTTCAAGAATCACCTTCGAGAGCCTTACACTGAGAGTTTCTCGAAAGCATGTGCCCTCTTTTTCGGGGGAAAAATGCTGATGTTTGGTGCGCAAAAACCACGCCAATGGAGTATGGTGGCATGAGTCAACAGTCCTTCCTGGACCAGGCTTTGAAGTCCTCGGTGGCAGACCCGCAGGCACAGCTGTCTAGCAGATCCCGCTCCAGACGTGGCTTCAGTGACCTATCGGGAATAAGGGAGTACAATCCCTATTTTGTAATATATATATATATGTATATAGGGGATTTATATTCCCTGTCTAATATCATGGGGTTTCAACCCGCAAGACAGGGCTCCAAGGACTGGGTTCAGGTTGATACGACCACGCTTTTATCGCCAAATGTCCGTAGATTGGGCGCGGAATTTGAAAAGCCGCTGTCGCTGTGGTTGAGTTACATGCTTAGGATGGCGCAAACGCAAACTCAGATGAAGCTGAACAGTGCTTTGCCTCCGAACTGGGTGGTTCAAGAGTCAAGCGAGATCTCGGGAGAGCCCCTGCTTTGGGCGTGATGTTTGGGCATTGTTGTAGGTTGTAGGGCATTTCTCGATGTTTGCAGCTGCAGGTCAAAGCAGGAATCTATGGCAATGGTGCCTGGGGGGCGCAGTGTAAGCCCCAGTCGGCTGAGAAACTGGCATCCTGGGCATAGCAGTTCCAGGAGTTGACACAACAGCAACTGAGAAGCATGAACACATCTCAGCCCACCCGCTCAGGCCGGCAGCGCAGACGCAAGCCGCACCCACGGCAGCTGTTGCCACGCCAGCTGTTGCCGTGCCAGCAGTCGCTGCGCCTGTTACGGCCGCCCCGGTTGCTGCACCGGCCATCGAGATAGTCACCACCGAGCCAGAGTGGATGCCCAAGATGTCTAGCATCAGGCTGCCAGCAGGACTTGAAGAGCATGCTAATCTTGCCCCTCTTTGTCAAGACCATGGCCTTTTTTCGGAGTTATGCAACGATGTGTGTGCCCGCTCATGGCTTCAGCCCGAAGTCGAAGCTAGGTAGCAGCACCTGCAATTTTGGTGGATATGGAGTCATTGATCTTCTTGTAAGTGCCTCTAAAAACCCAAAACAACACCAAGGGGAAATCGACGTTAAGTGGAGGGCGAACGAGCGCGGGACCTCTGTAAGCCCCGACACTCAAACTAGTAGGCCTTTACTTCCTGTTGCTTAGCAGGTCATAAGGGAATATAGCCCCTACTGCAGATACTTCCCGTATGTAATATTTCCTTGTTCTATACTATAACCCCAACATATACCCCATCATAACGTAGTAAGTTCCATTATCCCTATATAACCCCAATGCATTCCCTCATTCCCTAATATCCCCCTAAACGCTACCAGATCTGAGGCATGCCGTTATCAACAAGCAGATTAACTCGGTGAATGAGCTCACGTAGCTTCCTCGGCTTCATGGGCTACAGTCTAAACTCCTTAAGGGGGCTTATATAGGGGAGTGCATAGAGGAGTATTTTAGGGGTTACTAGGGGGATACTAGGAGTTTAGACTATAGCTTTTTGGGGTGGGGCCTAGGGCCTACTAAACGGTTGAGAAGGTCTTCTAAACGAAACATAGTGCCAGTAGCCACGAAGGAATCCGCGGAAATGGCTGTATTTTGTGGGAGCATGCTCCGAGGCTTCCGGAGTCCTTCCAAGAAATTCTATGGGGGTTTACCAAAATTAGGGGTACCTTTTTGGGGGTCCCCATAATAAGGATTATAGTATATTAGGGTCTATATTGGGGTCCCCCTATTTTGAGAAACTACCCTATGAAGAATTGGGCATAGCTTCTGGGGACCACTGGGGCTGTGTGGTCCATGCCATCACGTTTGTAATCTCGATTTTGCAAGCCATCTTGGGAGGAGGTGGGCGCGCACAAAAACTCGGGTCTGAGGTTCAGGGTTTGGGAGCTTAGCAGGCTACTCCAAATCCCTCGAGGAGCATGCAGGGACTGCAGGGTACCCCTAACATGCTTGAATAAACTGAATGAAGCCGAATGAAATCTGATTCGCGTCCAAGGCACCCTTCAACAGTAGGCTGCCTGAATAGGGGGGCGTTGTAAAAAGCCGGATAAACCCGACACAGTCCTGCCCAGACCCCATGCCAATTCAACAAACCTGGACCACATGAAAAACAAATCCCGAACCATTAAACCCTAGACCACCATGCCACAACACACTACGCTGTGGTTAGAAAGGGGCGGCACTGGCGTTTCGAAGATTGTCAGTCGTGTGCTGAGAGAAAATTGGTGAAGAAGTTGGTGAAGTTAACCCTTGATTAAGGTTTGGGGTTTGATTTTTTAGGTCCCTGCCTGACGGTCCGCATGAAAGAGATCACGTTATGTTGGGGGAATCCATAGGAGAATCCTGATTTTCAGAATCCTCAGCTGACTTCCGCACCTCTCACCAAAACGTAAGTGCACAACCTAGCCAAGCAGGGCACCTATGTTTGGCCTACGAATGGTCTTAAACTGCAGGGATGTTGCATTGACCAGGCTTGAGTTCGTTTAGCACTCAAGGCTGTGTGTGTACCAACCCTGTCTCTAAGGGAAAACTGTTAGATGATTAAAGAACTTGTTTTGCAGGGGGATGCCCCGCATCTCGAGAGTGTGCATCTAACAAAGATGCTGTTCAGAATTTGCTGATATGGTCTTGGGACGCCCAGACCAGGTACCTGCAATCTTTCGGAGATATGGTTTTGTTGCAAGTCTTTTTCAGAGCAAATCCCTCAGAGATTGAATTCCGCAAGTGTCTGGGCGCAAGCCATTGATTCCTGGCAGTCTTTCCGGTATGGAGGAAAGACGACACGTCGACGGTTTGTCTAGCATGTAATCATTGCTGGTGATGGTGCTGCAGTGGGTGTGTAGCAGGTGTAGTGTGTGTGGTGTGGAAGCGGGTCCATGACTGAAGGGCGTTAGATGAATGGAGCTTCCCGAATTCGTCCACTTGGGCTGGATCATTCTTAGCAGTTTGAGCGAAGCATCGCTTTTCAATCAGCATGCGTGCTCCTTACGACCCGAGACCTTGAGTTCATTACAGCCATGTCCAGTTTGATAGCGATCCAGCCTTGTGAACTAGAACAGGCCACAATTTTACCCATGAACCCTATCTAATGGAGAGTAGGATTGAGTTGTTGGAAGTGCCGCATGCTTCGATGCTTTTCTTGTGAGCAAGCGAAGACAATTCAAACTAGCCGCCTCACGTACTGTAAACCCTGAAAAAGGCGATTGACACCTACCTTCGAAGTTCCAGCGCAGTTGCGGCTTTCGTGCATGGTAGTTTCCGGAGACAGGGGACCGCAATATTGACACCGAAGTATTAGTATCTCTAGTGCGGGGCTCCCAAATCCCCCACATGTCGGCGGCAGATGGCTTGCTCAAACTGAGGCGCACAGTCCGCAAACAATCCGCTGGCGCCAAGTGAGAACTTGGCCGATGGCAATGTCCAAGCCTAAGATATGATGTGGTAGTTTCCTTAATAAGGGGATGCTAATATAGATCCCAAAATGCTAGAGTCCTTATTATGGGGACCCCCTTCATGGTACCCCTAATTTTGGGAAACCCCCATTAGGGAGTTCTGGGAGTAGGGATCCCCCAGGGACCCGTACCATGGAGATATGTTTGAGACGGACAAAACTTCGAAGGTTGATGAAAGCACTGTCCGGACATTGATTCAGGCAGGGTTTTTGGGGAAGTGGACGTTAGAGTTCCAGGGGCAAGAGCGAAGAGCAACAAATGGTCTGGCCACCTGAGATCATATAATCCCCTATATACCCCCCTTTGAGGAGTTGAGACTATGGGGCTCACCTGAGATATGCGAAGCTTTGACGCTGATTGTCTATTGCCAGATTCTGATGCAGCAAGCAATCCTGACTGAAGGAGTGCTCCGATGATGAGGAGGAATTCCAGGGCATGTGCTACAAACAGCTTCTTCCCCAGCACTGGGGTAGAAATAGGATGGTGTTCAGCTGCTGAGCAGGCGGTTCGCTTCTGGTGTTACTGTCTTCAGCTTGTGTGTTATCATGCAGACTTCACGGTTGTTCAGGCTTCAGGGTTTGGAAGTTTATAAGTAGGGTGTAGGGGAGCTTCTCCCATTTTGCATGCAGCAATAAGAGACGAGCTCAACGTAGTGCAAGAAGTGGTTCAAAGTAATCAGGCGCAGCAGCATGCTCGGGCCATCCACAACCATGCAACAAGAATCGGGGTCTTGCTTGGAGATGGGGACCACAGTCTGCTACTGCTGGAGTAGTCTTTTCCAGCAGTGTCCTAAATTTAAGCTTGCCGGTGTCCTTAAATCTGGAGCTAGCGCCATCATGTTCTGAGGTTGGCATCCTGGTTGCGTGGGGAGCTGACATGGTATACGGTATACGTATAGCTAGTTGCTTTGGCATCATGCACAGCAAGAAGAAACTTATTACCCACTCCACCTAAACCCGAAATTCCTTCCTGAACGCTAGAAACACTGAGACTGTGGAAATTTGGCGGAAGTCATGGTACCCATTAATATAGGGTTTAGGGCCCTATAATGGAGAATCAAATGGACAAGAAAATCGAAAATGAAATGGAAACTGGGATTATATAGTGGTTATATTGGGGATATAGTGGAAAGTTGGGGGAAGTCCAGGTGCGCCATCTTAACAAACGGCGAGATGACGAAGCGAGTCAGCCGCTGGCTCAGACTTGGGATCCCCCAACACAGTTTAGGGGTTACAGGGTCAAGGGAGGTCGAGGGGTTTAGGGTTTAGGAATTTGGGGTTCAGGGTTTTGGATTTAGGGACTTGGGGCTTAGGGGGTTTAGGAGGACCATAGGCTTTCATAACTTGTGGCGGGTGCTTTTGTAAGTAAGGTTGTGACCTTACTTCTCATTCACTTAATCTGGCCCTATATTTCAAACAATTGCGGAGTGTTTGGACCTGTAGACTAGTAGAATGCAGGGGGCTACAAGTTAGGTCAATCCCCACTACAGTAGCAATCCTTCAATATGGAATTAATAGGGCCTTACTATACCCACAATAGTCTTTAGGTGGTACCCATTCTGGGTAGAAATTGACCCAAGGTACAAGTCAAGTGCAGAGCTTAGAAGTAGCCTAGAAAGGGCTCAAGCTGGAGCGCTGGTTTTGGACACTTAGCTAAAGGGCGAAGGCACATGGAGCATAGACCTCCAAACACTACAGTCCTGAATAATGGGAACCCCCCAAAAAGTATCCTTAATTTGGGGAAAGCCCCAAAACAATCTAAGTAGTTACTCTTTTCGGAGGGCATCTCGAGCTTGCCGAGGTCCGTGTGCGTGAGGGATTGTGTCGCTGCGGCCATCTTTGTGGCTGGTTGTCAAAATTATGGTCCCTTTTTGGTTCCCCATTATAATACGGCACCTAATATTTAGGGTACCCAAAAGGGATCATAATTTTGACAACCACCCTTGTGAAAGGTTTTGTTTTGGTTTGTCCCATGGACGTCGTCGATCATTTCCACTTGACCTGTGCCAATAGTCTCCGTTTGAACGGACAGCAGTCCTTGTAAAGGTTGTTCTTGGGCCTCCATATCTGTGTGAGCACAATGATGTAGGTGAAGCGGCCGGGGCTTTGGGTTGTTAAGCTGCTGGAGGGCCTTTTCCTACCACATGGTGGGTATCTTAACAACGTGGACCCTAAGAATAGCGACAGCAAGTTTGGACCAAATTCCAGACGAAACTACGTGCTCTTAATACTGTGTTGTCTCGATTGTCATGGTCAACTGTACGCCCAGTAGAGTGTTGTACACAATTCGTAGGCAGTTGTACGGACATGGACAACGCCGTACAGGAGTATGGACTCGCTTGGCGCATTTGCCCAGTGTGCGTTTGCCGATGCGTATGAGATCATTTTGTGTGGAGCCCGCCTTCAACTATTCAAAACGGTAGGCTTGTGTTGTTTGAGAGCTTTAATGAACCGCAGTTGCAGGCCAGCGGCTCTATTGCAATCTTACCCTAAGCACATGTGTACGTTTGCCAAAGACACCTGCTGCTTGACAAGCATTCTCGTTGCCATGAGCTACGAGAATTGCCAAGTGCAGTGCAAGCAACCACATGCTCGTTGGGAAAGTTGCCTTGAGGTTTCAACCACTAAACTCCACCAAATAAAATGGAAACTACTATAATGGAAAATCAAATGGAAAAGCAAATGGAAAATGAAATGGAAACTGGGACTATGTAGGGGGCTGAATCCTTTCAATTATGGAATGTGCCCAGAGCTCTCATCTTCCAAGGTGCCTTCGAATGTTCAAAAGAGGCGGGCTTCATGGGGGTCTTCAAGGGGAAGCCAGGAGCCCAGCCAGAGGAATGACAAAAGCCCATGCGAATGACAAAAGCCCATGCTCACCTAAGTAGTGTTTTATTTGGGGATACTATGGTACCCAATATAGAGCAAGATTATATCCTCCTTTTGGGGTATAGTATCTTATATAAGGAATACAATCTTACTAGGTTCAACGACCAAAAAAAACACTACTCACCTGGACGTGGCCGCTGGCCCCGCCGCAGCCACTACTTACCGGTGGTTAGTAGCCGCCGCTGCCAACACTTCTGCCACTATTCCAGCAATTTGACCGTAGCAAGGATTCTACAACCACTGCTATCATCATAATACATCATGGGCAATTGTTCCTTGCAGTACATTTTTAGATTGGCTAACATCACTACGCGTCATGTGCCATGTGATCATCTTTTCGGCTGGCTTTTGATTACCTCTGATCCTGCTACTTCTTCTGACTATGGCCAAGGTGATGCCCATTCTGATTCTCACTTATATTCAACTGGGCATTCCAGGTCCCACTGGAGTAGCATCTACCAAATCAGGACCCCCTCTACTCCAAACTGACAGGGTTATACTTGAAGGACCCCCCAACACGGGGCGCGCTGTTCTGGGAAACCCTCGGCCTTGCGCATGCATGCCTATGTCTCTTGCATCACGTTATACTGACGCAAGCGTGGATCGAGGAAATCATGCACTGCCTTCAGTGCCCATACTTTCAAACGCAGAGTAGAAGCCCCCACTGACAGAGCATGGCAAAGAGGGCTGCGCGGTTGTTGGTTTTGGCAATGACGTGGGGGGGTTGCAAGACTTTTCCATCCACTGCATGACCCATATCAGAGGGAGAACATTCAAGCCTCATATCCATCTTCAGGAAGCGTCCTTAAACCCAGAGCTTAGCCCCCCCGCAAATCCCTGACCCCAACCCCCTGAATCCTTCAGACCCAAACCACAAAATCCCGAACCTTGACCCTAGACTGCAAACGCCCCATGAACCGTAAACCTCCCAGAGCACCAAATTCAATCCCCTCAACCCCTATAGTCCCCCTTAAGTAGATAGAATATGGGGTATATGGGGATCTTATTATAATATACCCAAAGCCATATTCTATCTACTTAAGGGGGACTATGACCCTTAAAGCATCCCCTCCTTCAACGCTGAGGACCGAAGGCTTCCCGATGCCATGCCAGGGCTTTGACGTTGCCGGCGATGAGGCCGGGGGCGGCTGACGGGCCCTCAGCGCAACCAGGCTTTAGGGTTTGGGGAGGGTGTAGGTTTGGGTTTAATGGGGGATATATAGGGGCAATATTGGGATAATGGAAAGGAAAGTGGAAACTACTATTTGGGGTTTAGGGTTCAGGATTTAGCGTTTAGGGTCAGCGCAACCAGGGTTTGTTGCTTCTTTTTCAGGATGATGCAGCGATGTGGGGCTACTTACAGGGATGACAGAGGGTCGAGGATTCAGCAGGGTTTAAGCTTGTGGTGTCTTTCATTATGGCGCCAAGTTTCTCAGGGGGTTGGCTTCGGGCTTTGTCCGAATGACTTGCTTAGCTATCGCGAAGCCTTTACAGGGGTTTTGACAAACATCATACGGTTGGAAGACATCCTGCGCCCGGCGCCGCCTGAAGTAATCAGTTAACATCCTTCGAAGTACTGGAGTTTAGAGAGCGTAGGTGCTACAAGCTTTGCTCCATCAATGTATTAGTAAGAGGGGGGACATGTGGTGAGTTACAGTCCATGTGGGGAGAGCGCGATTTGTCTGTCAGCCTTGCATTGCTGCTTGGGACCGCAGCCACCTGGTACAGATCATGGCATGGCCAGCCTGTTCTGTAATGGCTTGAGTGGTAACATCAATCTATGAATCGTAGCTGTATCAGTTGTTCTGAATTTTGTATTTTGTGGAGTGACATGGGACGATGCATGTTCTTGGCATCGCCAGTGGCTGCAGGCCCTCCCAAGAAAGCCATAGTCAAGGACACATGGGAGGGCAAGAACAATGAATGGAAAGGAAGAGCAAAAGTAGCACCTGCTACAAGCGGAAAGCAGAAACAAACTGACGAGAAGGTGACAGGCAATGACACCAGGTATGTTGGGAGATTATAGGGGTAATATAGGGATAATGGAAAAGAAAATGAAAGCTAGCAAATATGGGGTATATTAGGTTTAGAGCAGGCATTTAGGGGGCGGGCTCTGGCGGCCTGAGCCTGTGACCCTTTTCGGGGTCCCTATCAGAAGGATTATAGTATTTT